CGCTCGCAAAATACAATTTTCTGGTGTGCTTTGCCGTCAGTTCGATGTTCGTAGTTTGCTTGATGATAAAATTCGTAGCATCCTGGGAATTTTCAAATTGCTGCATGTTATGTATAGATAATGTTGTTGACAATTCTTTCTATGAACAAACATGCATTTTTTGTGGTTATTTATTTTTCACTACATCGCAATTTCTGTGTCTTCGGTGTTGAAATTTTTCACCTATAGAAATTTTAAAAATTGAATTGTCAACTGTACGTCGGTGGGTCCACATCTAACCGTTTCAAATCACAATTATCAAATATTTGGTTCTTTATTGATATGTCAAACGATTCAAGAAAAAAAAATAGTGACTAGAAATTTTGAAAACAATTAAAATTTCGTCTCGTCAATGATACTTGTGTGCATACATCTACCGTGTAATGTTTAGCAACTTATAATGGATTTGGATAAAACTTTACTTTACTACAAAAGTAATAATAATTGTTTCTATAATTGTATTTAAGATTTCAAATTGAATTGCAAACAATGCATCTGACCTTTCCGTCAACTGAACGTAAGTCGCCAATCGCTCAGATTTAAATTTGCACCACCTAGATTTTAGAATTTCTATAAACATGTGTTCAAGGAACGAAAAAAATCAAAACAGACGTCAAAATTTAAAAATATGATGTCGTTCTTTACTTGTAAATGCATTGATGATTCATTTATGCGCAGTTTAAGTTCATCGCGTTTACCTGTGTTGACTCTTGTAAAGGTGTAAACACTTGTGTTATTAAAATTAAAGTTCTGCGAACGCTACAATTTACCTTGCAAATTATACACCATCAAGCTGAGGAAATGCAGAGTGGTGTGCATTTACATATGTATTTTATTCCCATAAATTGTGAAAGATCATATGCCACATATAAAAACAGGATGTTGTATTCTCGAAAAGAGGTACATTTAGCAAATCCTGTAGTTGCAAATAACAGATACTGTACCTGCCTATCTGGCGACATGTCAGTATCGAAATATGGTTTATCACCAGACTTCATATCGAAAGCAAACAATGACAATTTGTTCACAATTAAATAAGATAAATACTTTTGAATGAAATCTGCCTAAATATCTAAAAAAAACTCCTATCTGTTAAGGTTCTATATTTTCTTGTACTTGGGTCGTTTGATATATTTAAATTCAATGTGATGTATGAAATATATATCAGCTTTGATTTTGCCTTTAAGAAATCCACGTTGAAATCCCCACTCAAAATCATCAGTAATTGATTTAAGTCCCGATTGAGCAGTGTAGACCGTGCTGTTGCATAAATGAGCAAATTTTCGTGGATGAATTTGATAATTTTATTTACACTTTGTTTAGGTGGGATGTAAATGGCAATCTTTATAATTATTATTTGTTCAGTTTACGCTTCACATTTTACTGCACACAAGAGACAAATACAGGGAGTTTTGAATTCGGTATATTTAAATTCAGTGTGGTTTTTAAATTCTCTAATTGATGATTTGTTAAAGCCACATAGTTAGAATTGTTAAATTACAGCTGATTGCTTTTCCTTGGCTCGCTTGGCTCTCATCCCGAGTTTCCGCGAACGAGCGTTTCATCCCGAAACCTGACGAATCGGGTTTATTCACTGTCCACAATTTTTCACTTCAAAAACAAATTTTAGTAATCGATCTAGTTTGTCGACTTTCTTGAGAAAATAATTTAAAACTTTTCCGTTCATTTCAGAATTAGTTGGCCGATTTTATTTCCTCTGTATATACATTGATTTATTCTTCCAACATTTGTACTTGGAGTTGCTCACTCACAACTACAAATGAAAATCATCATTATTCCAAATTAGTTGTCCAATATTGTCAAAAACTTTCAGATTATTTTGTTTACATTTATCTATCAAAGTAACAATTGTTGAGTCCACTTTGCTAAAGTTATCTTGACGGCACAAAAGAGTAATTTTGTGGGCTTTAATTGCCTCAGTTCGTGCAGATTCAACAGGATTTCTTTGTCAAATTATAATAATCATATGCAAATTGTTTATATTCCGCACTCCTATTATGTCATATTTATAGCTTTCATAACGAACTTTTTTAGAGGGGGAAAGCAAACGATGATGGATGTGTATTATTAAGATGCGTACACATTTTTAAATACAAAGTTAAGAATCATTTGCATAGTTCTGTTTATTTTTATGCCAACCAACCACCAGTTGTGAGTGGATATCAAATGGCTCTATCCAAGCTAACCAAATCACTAATTAGTTTTGACTACTTTGATAAACCTAAAAACAATCGTAAGTTGTCATATGAGACGCATAATCTTCAAAAATCTTGTTTTATTATTATTTTGCGCTCTTAATCCGTGTTTTAGATTAAACAAGTGTTATAACTATACTTATAACTCGTATCGCTTTACAAGTGTACTAGGCACCAATTGTAGAAGTGCGGTCTGAGAATGAAAATACCGAGACAAATAGTATATGTATATATAGAAGGTAAACATCTGTTGTTCAAAATGTTGTAGATTTGTGTGTAATGACTATAAGGATAGAACTAAATTAATTAACATAGTTATTTAGGTATTTACCAGGAGACGCGATAATCCATAAATCTATCTAATCTGATTTGATCACATTTTATGGAGAAATTCCAGCGTTGGAACTATCATTAATAATATCGTCATCATCACCATCAAAGTCCTGATTTAAACCACATTCATTGCTAATCACCTGCTTATACCAACGTTCCTAATTCATTTGTTTTTGTACTTAATATTTCGGCGTTTGTTTACCTGGTAATGATCATAATTTGCTTACCGTTTTGCGACATGTGATCTGTTACAGTTTTACTAAGTGAACATATTGTAACATATGCATAACACCGTATGAACCCCGCACTGATAGTTTTTGGTATTTTTTCCAAATGTGCCTTGTTTCAGTACCAAAGGAAATGGTTGCCTTCATATTTGGTTACATGATGCACTAACGTTATTAAAGAAATATTGTAGTTTTGTTGTCTACATTATAATTCTGCCATTATGGCACATTTCAAATATCGAAAATAAGTTGAACCATGGCTACTTTACATAAGAAAACTTCATCGTTTCAGTGAGTAAAGCATTTTTTTTTCCTCAATTGGCAAATATGATTATTTCCCGGGCAGAATGTTTTCAAGGAAGTAGCCATTACGGACTAGTCACGTAAAAACTTTACCACACAAGTCGTATGAACGAGCAAAACACCCTAATATAAATTTAATTGTATGTTTTTGGTATAGTTTATTTACTAAATTCTACTTACAAATTGAAAGACTAATATTAATTATGGTATTTGAGAATTCTGATATATTTGTACCAGACAGTATTGTGTTTGTGGTCAATTTCGATTCACAACAGAATCTTCGGTTTCTTAGTAAAACTTTTTAATGTCGGGTGATTTTTTTTGAGTGAATAAATACTCGAACAATAATTTCAAGGTTTGTAATTCTTGTACTTTTTTTATCATACACGAATTTTCGAACCCTTGGATTTCTTCAGCAACAAATTGTGGTAGCAACCGTTAAGTGGGAAGATTCAGATTCCCCCGATATTACTATTGTTACTAAAACTACAGCGAATGCTACAAGATAACACAAAAACTAATTTTCACATCAGTTTATTCACTAATTTTTGTTTACTACGAAATTTGTCCTTTCGAAGAAAAATTATATGAGACAGATTAAGAAAGTATCATTGCTTGACTTTCTTCACCACTTCATACTTCAAAATCTCATTCACTTACGCGATTTCTTACGCCAAGTAAGTTTTAAACCAAAATTTAAAGGTGTGCGACATAAGTTTATTTTTTATTAAAAAGCTACGTCTTGTCGAAACGTATTGACAAAATAAATAAAATCCTCTAGAAATATACAAACGAAATGGCACATTATTGCTTAACTTTAAAATCTTTTTTTTGTGTACTTGCTACTTCTATTTTCGCGGGTGTTGATAAATCTTGCAAAAAAAAAAAATAAATAATGTAAAATGCTTCTTTTTAGTTTGAAATAAGATAATTATTAACTTGTGTGCTAATAACACCAGTGCCTCTGTGTAAACAACACTTTTATTTAGGCTTGTAGAATATTATATGAGAATCTAAATATATGTATAAACAACTCTGGGGATTTTTGACCAATTTAGCAATTGTCTGTCAATGAAATGAATAATTTCGTGTTATTGAAGCTTGACTATGACTACCAAAAATATTGTGGTAAATTCAGCTACAGCTGTTGGTTTCAGGGATAATGCGTGCGCACATAAAATGAAACTCCACATAAATAAAAAATTGATACTAACATTGTTGCTAATCGACGTCAGTATAATCATTACTTAGGCTTTTGATCAATAAAAACTGTTTACATTGTATTTAACACCACGTCTCAATTAACCCACCTACCATTTGCTAAATTTCTGGTTTTCTTTTGTGAAGATCAAAGTCGAAGCCTAAAATAGATAGATACTACATAAAATTAGTGGTAACGGTTAAAATAAAAAACAGGCATCCGTAAAAAAACCAAACAAATATTGAATTAGCGTTTCTGTGTATTTTTAACTTCGTTTTAACGAAGCTGAAATGCCAGAATTTTGTCCTAAAAATTAATGAGTACAGCGTTTTATATTAATACAACATTCCGGTCTTAAAATAGCGTCAGCTTCTAGCAGATTGTCTTTAGGAAAACTTACCAGGAACTAAATGATTTTCTATCATATTAAAAAATCGTATTTATATGAGTGGAAAAACGCACGTTTGTTGGACTACTTACGATTGTATGTTTTAAATTCGCTGCTGAACGTTCCTAAAATAAAAATTAACTGAAACCGCAAATTTATCAACTCCTTATTGCGACCCTGATACAATCTCCCCTCTATACTTACGTTCGCAAGTAAAGACCCAGTTATTGAATTTACCCATGAAGGTTTTGTATAGCAATTGAAATCTGAAGGGTCATTTCGTCTTGTTCCAGGTTCTCGCCTCGGACATCATAAAAGAACACGAGTTGCCCTTGAAGAAACAGAAATTGTTAGGCGAATACCTAGCGAATCCTCTTCCGTCGTATAATTTATACGCTTCTCTGGACGCCATGTACTTGAACCAGTGTCTCCAGGAATTCCAAGCCGTCAATCGTCACTTCTCAGCCTTCAAACCGGTGAATCATCACAAAGAACCCAAAGTGTACAATCATCTAATGGGAATGAACAGGTACAGTGATACTCCGGTACTGCAGAATCCCGAAAGGGTGGTACTCATGTCGGAATCAGAGCGATTCGAGAGGACTTACCAACCGAACGTAGCCCTAGCACCAACCACTCCCAAGAAACACCGATACGGGAAATTCAACTTCATCAAAGATGAGGTAGAAGTGAAAAAGGAGGAAGTAACGAATAATAGCACAGAAGTCATTGTGAAACAAGAAGTGGAGGAAAAACCTCTCGAACCTCCAAAGATGGTGTCAGTAGTACAAAGTACCACGACTATTCCCAGGTACAATTCGGAAATCGAATTATCGACTGATACAGAAGACAGTGCTTCTGAGACTTCTGAAAAACAATCCAGTGATCTCGGAAAAATCGAAGAGATGTTGAAGGGGCTGGACGCGACCGTCAAAGATCGCATATTGGACGCCTTCAAGAATTTGATGAAGGAGAAAGAGAGTTGGGTGAGGGAGTGTCGCAGCAGAGACGAGAAAATCAGGGAGTTGGAGGGGAGGGTGGAGGAGCTGGAACGTAGACCATTGGAGAAGGAGGAGGAAACGAAAGTGATATGTAATGGGGAGATTAAAGACGATGAAAACAATAGTTCTTCCATAATCAAAACGAACGAAAACTGTGAAATAGAAGGACAAAAAACAAGTGTTATTGCAAGTTTGGAAGGTGCCGTCGCAGAACCAAAAGCAATAATAAACACTGCTCCCGAATGATCTGTAATTGTGTTGTGCCGTCGATGAACGGTCGTCAGTTTTTTCTTTGTGTTTTATTTTGTTGATAATCGAAGCAATCCGGAAGAATAGGAGGTTGTCGTGGAGCTCCTAGAGTCTTTCACTCTCCCAAAATTCCGATTTGTACATAGTTGAAAGGGGATACTTTTCCTCCATCGTACTACCGTTAGTCATAGGTTTACCATTATGAGACGCACTAGAGATTTTTATTTTTAATTTGCTTTTGTAAATGCGTGTAAAATTTGTATGTTTACGGAGAAACAAACAAAAATTGAGGACGACTGTTGTTTGTTTTTTTTTTCTTTTAGTATCTCAAAATTGTTCTTGTTATGATTGTTTTTAATTTATATTTGTGAAATTGTTACAGAGATAATATTTTTTATCAATTACGAAGAAAAGTACAAACTAGAATGGTGCTTTGGAAGCATCTGTTATTATAATCTTAAAAGATAGAGTTTTAATAATAAACTGTGTGAATGTTCGGGACTGACAGGTGCGCGTAATTGCATATCCGGTCTCGACCAAATTTTTCCGATTTGTCTCAGGAATTTTCGCAATCAAATTTTTGTACATAATTTTAAAATGCGCGGGACGCATATCAAAAGTTTATTGGTCGGGTATGCAATTTTGGGCGCTTTTTTTCACCCTTCCGATGTATGATGTGGATAAATGCCATACAATAAATTTTTATCTGTACAATATATTTAAATTATTTTATTTGTAAGTTTGTTCTTAATTTTTTGCATGAACTTTTTTGTTAAATTTATAAATTTAATTTTATAATTATAGATATTTTTTATATTTTCTTTTGTTGAAAACAATATGTGATACGATTTATTAAATTTATGACTATCAATTCTTGCAGTATTCTGTATGGAAGATTAAAAACACCATTATTTTCTCTTATATTATGACGATGACGCTTTCGATCGTTATTTGGCAGCTTTTTGGCAAATGGTTGATTAATCTCCATTTAAAAAAACACAAAGAAAAAATCGTACTCAAAATTGTTCCTAAAATTTATCAACTTTATAAAGCGTAACTACTGCCGAAATTTTAAATTTTTAGCAATATTGTGTTCGTTTGGAAGTTTCCTGGAGAATTTACGAAAATTGTTGAATTTGTTATTATATATTTTGTGATCTCAAAATATGTAAGAGTGCAGTTGAGTTAAATAATAAATAAGATTGATAAGCTTGTGTGTTATATAGGTATATATCGATCAACACAAATTATTTCATAAATACATATATTTCTGAATTTATGTGTCAAACAACAATAAATGCATTAATTTATATCTACACGTCTTATTCTTTCACATTTTCTAGATTATCTAAATTCTGCAGTATTTATCGTAGAAGTTTGTGTAGTGGCGCCACTCGACGGTTCACTGAACCTCGGCACAATTCCTACCTTAAATACGACTATTGATTTTGCGAACCGACTTCTGTTGACTGAGCGCACGACAGAGGGCGACACGTGGAGGACACAAGAAACTACGTCTCAAAATAAAATTTTGTTTATTTACAAATAAAATTATAAACAAATTGCAGTTACATCAGTCAAAAAATAAAGTGTTACAGTTAAAATAAAGAATATAAAATCTAGAGTACTTGAAAATAAAAATGGCAAACTTGAGCAAATTTGTCGTTAAAAAATTTAAAAGTGATCGACTTTGACGGCTACGCTGTTAGCGGCGTGATTACTAGGTAATAGAATATTGTCCCAGTCGGTGTGCATGTCTTGCTCAGAATCGGTGGCTTTCAGACTAATGCCAAGACTGGGTAAAGTATTGGCATAATGCGGAATATTTAGGATCACAGGCTTCAAAAATTCAGTACCTTGAGGTCCGCACATGACAATCGGAGACAACATTGCTTCACCTGTAATACAACACAACATTAGCATTTGAAAGCATCATTACTTATAGACATTATTACTGCACTAGCATAAAGAAATGAGAAATTGCATTCTGGAGCTTTTTTTTTTAATTTTGCGTTTTTGACATCTGATTCGACGTATATTACAAAGAGGAGTGACGGTGATCTAAGGACATTTCATAATGTCAAAAAATGAAGATAAGTTACATCAAAGTTAAATACAATGTATATTTTTTACACGATCACGAATTCGCAGAAAGAAAGGATCTGGCAAATTTATACAATATTTGATCAGTAAAACGTGTTTTCTCATCGAACGTGTACTTTTAATGTTGTAAACAAAACCCGCAATAAGGTTAACACCACCGCAACAACTAAAACCAAAAATCTTGGTTTACTTATACCCTTTGGGCAGAAAATGTGTCATTTTATATTTTGTATGTTGTTTTGCGAGGTTTTTTGTTTTGTGAAGTATAATAGGTTATATAAGTCATAAGTGTGCTATTAATTACTTCTGAATCAATTATTATTATTACATTAAAGATTATCTTAAATCGGTATTGCAAGTTATAGGAAATTAGTTTTAATACCAACTCCCTAAAGAAAATTCAACCATTATGTTGGAACAACATATCCTTATTCCAAACTGGGTTTCCTATAATTGTTTTACTACAGTTAAATACTTCGCGAACAACCTATTGCTTACCATCAAAGTGGCAATGTGATGTTTAACAGGTAAAAATAATGTTTCTAGTTCCCGCAAATACACTGTGGAACTAAAAATGTAAGTGTTTTTCTTTATTGCTTCCAACAGCCACTCTTGCTAAGAAAATGATAAAATATGCAATCACGATGTATTTATATTCAGACAATCAGGCAACCAGCAATACTCATGAATAGTTTCGGACTAAAGTGTACTATAAATCATTACTATTATTAGTAAAATTTTTAGTATTGATTTTGAAAAATAATACACACGACCCCCAAATATATAAATGTTTTTATAAATACATAAGAATTTTACTAACATACATTATGTACTATGTGAACGTTTAACAAACAAATAATATGATAAAAAATCAGGCTGAATTTAAATTTTAGATATTTACACTTCAATGAAAATGACTTCAGAGTCACTACTGTGATTGTTCGTAAGTAATAACTTATTTCTTATATAATATAATCTTTTTTTAATTTCGATAGTAAACGGTGTTGCTAGAATTACGAGAAAAAAAATGATCGAAGATTATTTCGACGGAACTTCCCTCTCCCATAAAGTACAGTACATCAAATCCAGCTGTTTCGAAAAATTAAAAGATTTGATTTTGCGAATTTTATTGTTTTACGATAATCCTTATAAGTTAAAATAAAGATAAATGTGTACGTAATGTTCAAGTAAAGACAAAGAAGCGTTGGACGCGTTGTTTCAAGTGAGTTTTTCTATTGCAAAATTTTGTGTGACGTCAACAACATTTTTTGCAAGACATACCAATTTGGATAGATGCGGTGTAATATTATAATAACAGTACTGTATTTCCAAATTTTCAGGAAAATAGAGTGAGTCGTTCTTGAATCTTGATTTAATCAATAAAACAACGAAACAATTTAATCACGTTCACCATGTGTTGTAGCAGAGGTGCAACTGAACTGAAGAGAATTTACTAATTTAAGACAAATAGCGATAACGCTTGTCGAGATTGTACATGTGAGAGTGAAACAGAGAAACTAAACTAAACGATATTTTTTACGAATTGCAATAACCGGATCACAATGCGATTGTCCAACTTTTTTATTGTTTCGAATTTCGCTTATTAAATAAAACATAGCATTTTATTTTGAATTTAGACGTTGTAATTCACATTTGATTAATTATAACTTGTCTAGGTCTAGGGGAGGTAAAAATTTCTCTAGGGGAAGCTCAGCATCCGCTGGCTGGCTACGGCCCTGTTTAGCCTCGAGAAAATATAAAAGTACAAAGTCCCCGATGGGCCGAATTGCTATACTTCCTTAGCTTACGCTAAGTAAAATGACCTCTCAGCAATAACAAAACAAGTTGAAGTGTTTATGTTTACACATTGGAAGAATGTCACGAAGAAATTTCATTTGAACGAGTTTGTCGCCTCAAAACAGAGAATTAAAATTTAAAAGAATTAATTAAGTAAGCCACAATCGAACAAAATGTTCTGAATATTATTTTTATTATAATTCTTATTTAATCCTCCTTCTTATTTAGTCCTCGTTCTTAATTTAATTAATAAAAAATAAGAGTGTTTAATTTTATTAAATTTGTTTTATCTAATGAAAAAAAAATATGTGCCGTCTGCTAATTTCAACCCGTCGACCCTGAGTATGTGAAGCAAAAACTCTACCACTGAGCCACACCTGCTGTAAACCACAAGTGCAGGAGTATATTATTTCGTATAAAATCGATAATGTTAATTATGAAACATAATGAGTGGACGTCATCAAATTGGCGATAGGCAGACAGACAATTCGACGGAAACGGGAGACCATTTTTTCGTACTGTAGGGGTCATAAAACGTCGAGAAAACATAAAAGTGGCCATTCGTCCGATGGATTCGATTACAATATTTCTTTAGCTTACACTCGGGAAGTAAAATGAAATAAATAATTCAGTTTCTGGATTTCTCCTATTTAAAAAATCCAAGTAAGTCACATACTAAGACATCGCATATTTCCATGAAGACAATAAGAAAAACACTAAATACACGAAGAGAGAATAAGTGAATATAATCCTGGACGATTTCAAACTTAAAGATAGAAAAAGACGTAGTTGAGAATATTGTGGGAAACTATGGACTAGGTATAAGGAACAAACTAGGTGATCGTTTAATTAAATTTTTCAGAAAACAGACGTGATTATAAACACTCAGTTTAAAGTACCAATTAGAAGTCGCAAAGAATAACCAGAAATGAAATAGATAAAAGATACTGCAACCCACCCCCGAGCTGACATATTTACATTCTGGTCATACCCTTGTTGCTTGCAAAAATGAAAGTGCGCATGAAAAAAATTCGTAAACCAAAAAAAAGGGTACAAAACAAAATAAACACCGTAAAAGAGAAAGTATAGAAAGAAATAAACGCAAAGCTTGCAAATATTTCACAACAAGAAGGAAATTAACACAATGTGGGACGAAATAAAAAAAGCTCTTGCAGCAGCAACAAAGAATAATCTAAAACAAGAGGAACGAATAAAACAATCCTGGATGACGGAGCAGATTCTGAAGAAGTACAGCGAACACCACAAAAAAATACTAAAAGACATAAGACTAGCAGAACAAAAAAATGGCTATTAGAGGAATGTCTTGAAATAAAAAATCTTGAGAAGAAGCGATAACAGAAGATGGGTCAGATGAAATACATGTCGAAAAGATCTAACTATGTAATCGAAGATTACCACTCAGACATGATAACGGAATTTTTTAACCGGATATATAAAACCGGCAAATTTCTATTTTTATGCCACTGACAAGGAAAACAAACGACAAGGAGTATGAGGAATACAGGATTATCAGATTGAGAGATTGAAATGAAAAAATGTAAATATACAGAAAAGTTTTGTTACGTGTCTTCAGAAAATTTGTGATACTTCCAATATAATTTTCTGTATAGGTCAGCATGCAAGTAATACACACTGGAATTATTCCAAATGGTACATGGAGATCAGACTGGCCATCATGAAGCTAAATGAAATGCATTGTCTTCTTTAGAAATATCGTGGAGATAGTAAAACGCTAACCAAATTCTGTCAGATCATCCTCACCAACAATTTGATGACGTCATCTCAAAATTTTGCTGAAGAAATCCTACCTAATATGCACAAAATAGAACAAGTGGAGCAATTTATTTTATTTATGGAATTAAGAGTGGGTTATACCATTTTTACAAAATTTTGGGAATGCATTTTTGTTATTGTTAGCATTACGCTGTACCTTTACAAAGTGGTGCAAAAAGTTTATGACGTCATCATAAAATTTAACAAAATTGTTAAGAAAAACTCGCTTAAAACATATGCATGTGAAAAACGTGCTTCTTCACCTTCAGTTTAACAGACCACACATTACTTCATTTTAACTTAAAGAGATTATCATAAAAAATTCGTATTTTTCTAAAATACTTACGACGTTTGATTGTACTTTAAGAGCGTGAGAATTTGTGTCTAAATAACTTTAGACCAATTTTTAGTAAATGCAACGATTCTACTTTTACAAAATTTATCACAGTACATAATATTTTATCCAATACGTAATTTCTCCTTCTTTACGCTACACTTCACCCACCTACTTAAAAAATATTTACAGGATCGAATTTACACATACAACAACAAAAAAAATCACAAATGAAAAGGTAGATCCGATCCTGCGCATGTACACTGGTCCTAAAAAGACTGTTACCGTTTTCCAGGTCCAACGGGGGCCCATTCGTTTCACACAGCCTCGGATCAGATATAACGAAATAAATTTCTTTTTGTTCCCCTGGGGGAAGGGCGTTTTCCGGGATTTCCAGCGAAACTCCCCAGTATTCGTTTACCATCGTGCCACCTCGGTGGTCAACGATGGCCGACGTAATATCGCGTTTACTCGGCCGCATTCGGTCATCGTTCGGTTTCACAGACAGCATTTTTTTCGACGTCTTCGGGGTAGTTTCTCGGTTTTTCGATTTGAACGAGAATTTTCGGAAGATTTTCGCTGGACTGAGTCCGCCGCCTTCGGTGCGGTGATGTTTGAACGATTGGGTTTTTGTTAGTTTTGGCGTTACTTTAGGCGAGTTAGTGTTTAGTTTTTGTATTATGTTAGGCTGTGATCCGAATAAAGCGCCATCATCCTGAACCCTTGAAATGATAAAAATTTGAATGAATTATGTGTTTTGGAGGGGGGCTGACGCACCTCTTCCAGCTGTTAGTTTGTTATTTTGCAAACACAGAAGGTTATTTCTTGCGGACTGTACAAGAAGCGGAGGTACAAAATATCATGTCCGTTACTAAATCTAGCATAATATTAGTTTGGTGGTGTATACCCAATATTTACAGGATTAAATTATAAGCAATTTAAGTATTTTATATACAAGATGCTGCACTATCACAGCCAGCGCCAAAACGACAGTTTCTTTAACGTATAAATTTCATATTATCAGGATTAACATCATAAATAAAAGTCTATAAAATAAACATAGTTTCTTGGTTATGCACGTTGGGCTTGCAAAAATGAGATTTAGCATGTATGTAACTAGATTTTTTTAAACAAAATTTTTTTGTATTTATATCATTTTTTACAACTTGATCATTATCAGTACTACAAGTTATCACTAATGCTGACTACTTTCGTAAACTATTGAGTATATTTATCACTGATATCCACATAGTGCAACTAAGTCATTACTGCCACTCGGTTGATGCTTTACTATGCATTGAAAACGAACACTTCATCGACTTTTCGTTACTAAATACAATTTACATAAAATTAGTAATGAAAAAAATTACCTGCTTAGTGTTAACATCGTTAATAAAAAAATTTAATTAAATAGTCAAAGTTTACCATGTGTTGATCGACCAACAGAATTACGAAAATCATATCTGTATTAATTATATGTTAATAGATATGTCGATTTTCCCATAGACCGTAAGAAATGTGACATCCTGTATAATATTAACAATTTAGTAGCTTATACTTATCCTTAAGTATTAGTTTTAATGTTAGTTTACAAATAGAACAAATAAAGTATAGCGTTTTACAGATAAATTTGCTGCCTATTACTTAAGATACATTTAAAAATTGTGAGGATGGCTGGCATAAAAACCGTTACGTAGGCAACTACCCCCAAGTTGTTGCCTTTGACTGACTAAAACCGCACTGTACGTACATACCACCCACAGTACAAATGCAAAACACACATTTACTAAATGTAACTATAGTAGACTTGTGCCCACAATATCAGTCATAAATGAAAATTTTTGACGCAAATTCTAACAGTTTCCGAAAGGCGACAATTATCAAACAAACATATTCAAACTTAAAAGATCATTCTGAAGCTGTGAACGTACTCACAACACTTTGATCGCCAATATGTGTTTAAATGTCATAATGTTGAAACTATTACAAAAGATATATGTACCTCATTAATAATTATTTTTTATCCTGACTGCGAATGTAACGATTATAATAACATGAAAAAAAAGTTAACAAAATGATTGTCACATACTGAAAACAGTTGTCAAAATTCATTTAAAATAAAATCTGATTTTGCACAAAATTTCGAAAAAGGTAGCAAATTTATTTTTGAATAATTAAGACTGCTTATAATTGCATAAAGAAAACGATATGGCTAGGATGTACTATTTAGAAATGTAGACTACTGCTCTGCTATTTTTAAATTGATGTCTGCAATTTCACATAACACATGGTTAACCGGTCGAGATGGGTGAAGTCAACTTAACTACAATCCACCAGAGTAACACATAAATAATCATCAAAGGTCTAGAATGATTTATGGTCCTATCAGCAAATATTCACATTATCTAAGAGGTGGCCGTTTGTCTGTGTTGTGTGTGTACCAACAAATCTCTATAGCACAGTTAATGATAATTTATGTATGCCACTTTAGCTATTTACATTTGGATCACTTTTAGCAAAGTATAAAAAATATTATTATGTTGGGCCATAAATTTGTAACAATTTTTTAGTGCGAACAAAGAAAAGAAAGACAAATGAAAATAATTAAAATAATAATAATTCATCAGACAAGTAGTTAGTCCAGTATCCAACTCAATTATGTCATCAAGAGTCTCTAAATCCACTTCAACAGGTTGACCCGATCAAGGTTGATTATCCAAATTTAAATTTCCTTCATTAAACTTATTAAATCAACTTTACTGGCACTACATCTTTACCGTCTACTTCACATATTCTTTCTGTTACTTCAGCAATAATCGAATTTTGTTTGCAGTAGTGACGTAATAGTACTCCAATTTCAATTTTTTGTTTTCATTAATTTTTATACTTTACGAAGTTCTAGTCACTAGTTACTAAGTTAAATTTTTGCTCACATAAATCAAACGAGGAATAGTTAAAAAAAGGTGTCTATCTAATACAGTCTCCTCATCATACAAGCTGGTTATAAAAGGTCGTACATCAAGTTGGTTTTGGAAAATATGTCAGCAAAAAGCAACCGAAAATGTGATTTTTGCACTCATGACCTTTTTTGATAGATTTCGCGCATTCACCAGGGTGCGGGAGTTCGAACTTCCCGCACACGTGCATTTAACTTCCCGTTGCCATGGTAACCTTAAAATACTCGGGTAGTGTCAACATTGTGACGTGTTAACGGCGCTGTCAATGCCGTTGTTTATAAATAACTCACAGTTAATCTCTTCAGTTTAAAGGTTTATTCGTCGCAAAAAATATTGTACACAACACGTTCGTGAGCCTGCTTCCCGCATTCACGCAAATGCGTCACTCCCTTCGGTCGTGCCGCAAACAAGCGTTCATGCGGGAAGCAGGCTATCCCGAACTAGTTGTGTAAATTACTATTGACTTTTATGACAGACTGCAGTAATAACCAATTATGACAACGAGGTGGAAAAATTCCTAAAATTTCAAGCCAACTTGATGTACGATCTTTTATAATCGTCTTGTGCATACAATTGCAAATTGTTAAATAATACTCCTAATAAATTGCAACACTGTTTACTACTTTACACAGGTTTAAAGCCAAGGCAACTGAAATGACTCACGAAAAACCACAAGCTTGTAACTGATGTTCTCAGTAAATTACAAGTTACAAGAGGGGAGCAATTTTCCACAATCGTTAAAACACCTGTACAGTGATGGACTCTGGTATTTTTTAACTGCTTCAGTGGTTTCATAATTAGAATTTACAGAAGACTGAAGGAATATGCCGAACGTAAGTATAAATAACAAGCTTAAAATTAAAATTATGTATAGGGCGATTATTACATATTTTTGTAATTTATTCGTATAACATAAGTAATGTAAAAAGCATACTTTTCAATTCCACACACCCGCACGTGTATTGTGGGTTGCCAACCTAATTCAATTTTCTTCAAGTAGATAGCACATAACTGATTTTTGTAACAAACGACAGAAGTCAGAATACGTTTAAATTTAAGTGACCAGAACAAAATAACTTATAGACATTCTGGACATATCAAGAAATTAAAAGATATTCGCTATTTGAAGTTCGTCATATGAAGTAAAGTTGATTCGACAAGCCCATGCTTTGAACACAATCCTTTGCGGTAATAATTATGGTCTCATTAAACAATTACTAACATTAAAACTTACAAAAGGCACACGTTTAACAGCAAACAAAAACTTAGGACTCTCTTGTATGAGAAAATAAAACACTACAAAGACGTACCTAAATATTTCATTCTTCAAATGACAAATTTCCCAAGCAATGAAGATTAAAAAAAAAAAACGTGGCTAAAGGTATTGTGTGGTGATCTAATCTAACATTAATATTAATAAATACCATGTGACCATTAATGTTTGTGATTTTTACTTCCCGAACGTAAGCTAAGGAAAGTATAGTAATCCAGTCCATCGGACGAATGACCAATTTTATATTTTCTCAATGTTTGTTTCATAACCCCTACAGTGCAAAAAATGTAGTGTCTGGCGTCTACATTTCCATTTTTATTAGACACGTAATCTCCTAAAGTGCTGGACCGATTGTTGTCAAATTTTGTATGTATGTTAGAAATATCATGTGGATGGTTAAACGTAACTAAAATTTCGTCAATCATCCCCGCCAATAATTTGATGACGTCATTTTAAAGAAGTCTATATTTATTTTATTTAAATGTTATACAACAATATACTCCTATACGTGTGGTGTACAAATCTGCTTTAAATTTTTTCCGACGATCCAGCAATCGATGCCAAACTTGACTTTTTTTTTCTCTTTTATAATTTTTCCAAGAAGCGGGCTTTGTTCGATTTATACTTTAGAAGCGAGTTCCATGGATTTTTTGGGCAGGTTGGCAACATATTTAAAATATTATGATAGCATACGTGACGTCAAATTGAAATTTTAATCACAAATTTGGTAGTCCAACAGTAATAATAAAAAAATAGTTACAAATAGTAACTTGGTTTAAGCAAATACTCAAAGATGTCAGCTCATCAAACTGTTCAGTGAAATTATACGTTTTAATACCAACCGTCTCTTTGCAAAATTTGTGTCCACTGTTTTGGGTAAAAACCCGATTTCGTTTTATTTTGTAATTCACAATTTTCAGAAGATTTTTAAGATATACTCGTATTTTCATCAAATTAAATGTTCTCTGTTCCTGCAAATTTGAACAAACTTCATGCTTAATTTTTGGCACATTATCTTGAGAAAACTTTAATAGCTGTGAAATAATTTAATTGTGGTTCTTAAACAGGCCGATTCAGAGCACTACTGCATAATTTTAAGACGAATTATATAGCAATAAATAAATAAAACGTTCTACTAAAACTATGATCATTTCTCAAAATAGAGAATTTTTAAATTTGCTACTTTTTCAAAACTATGTATATACTTTCCGCTATCTTTAATTTTATTTGCAAAACTGCCTTGGAAATACCATTATTATGTATTTCTTTGCTTTGGTAACGTCTAAAAATTGAACAAATTGTTACCAAGGTGTTACAATAAAATTGTTTTCTAATAATAATTCGGCACGGCGAAATTGGCGAAAGGTAATTGTTGGAACGTTTGAAGGGATGAGTAATAGGCTTGTTGTCCCTTCGATGGTTTATTACGTTCTATCTTAAAATTACAAGTGAGACCTGAGCAGGGTGGGGGTGACAAACCCACCACTGGTCTATCGACAAACCCACCACTGGTCTATCGAATGAACAGTAATTTTGATTATTCACGAAATTTTATGATTTTCTGATAGCCATATTTTAAAGAATTAACCATGCTCTCGTTAGTATTATTCACATATTTTTTGTCATATAATTCGTCATTAAAATTGTGCAGTAGTGCTTTGAATCACCCTATATATACAAGAAATATTTAAATCAATAAATTATTTCATTAGTCTTTGTAAACGTATTCTCATTGTTAATCTTAAAAGCAATATTGTACATTAGTTATATACAGGCTTTGCGTTCTTGTGTACAATTTCTACAAAAACATAATCAGGCAATAATCAGGTGTTCTAAATTCAAATTCTAAAATGTGATTTTCAAATGAGACTTTCAAATCGCACCAGACAAGCGTCATCACATTGTATTTCTTTTCAATGTAGGCCGTCATTAAAAAAACTCCAAATGAATTCAAGAAAGTAGGTCGTTTCCAACGCAAAAACAGGCGAAACACTTTGTCGCGTCGAGTCAGTTTGATTTATCATAATCGTAAGTGGCTGAACCGACTATACCGACCAACTAAACTTAAAAATCATACACAAATATACATCACAATCAATTAGTTGCATACTATTGGCTTTGGGATTGCACGGAGTTTCTTATTTAGAATTCCGTGACTTTTCCAGGTTTTCTCTGACCAAAACCACAAAATTTCATGATTTAATTTTTATAGGTATGCGAATTGAAAACTTGAAATAATACCGACATAGAAAATGAAAAATAATCCTTTATTCAAACAAATAACAGAAATAAATTAATTCTCTGACTTTCAACAAAATTCTTCTAGAATTTCCCGACTTTTCCCTAATATTTTCAAAATTTCTAAATTCCCTGACATTTACAGGTTTACCAGAAAAGTGGCAACCCTGTTCGAGTTATTTTGTCGTATGAATTTTTTTTAAGAAAATGCTATTTTTTATGTAATTTATTTTGTAGATTGTACCTTTAAAAACCTTTTCAAAGAACTCAAATTTGTTAGCCCTAGTTTGAAGACGTTAATACTGATTTTTTTCTCCATTAAATCAAAATATAACGAATTTTTAACTGTGTGACGTCATAGCTTAAACGTGGTGTATCAGGTATATTTTAGTAACATCTTTTAATAATTAAAGGATGAACATCATCAATTATTTTTTAGAATGGTTAGCAGTTGAAACTGTAATTGTGAAGAATTAGATTTAATGTTCTTTTTTGTAATATACTGTCTTTGCCATTTCTATTGAAACACCACCTGTTGATTTTGCTTAAAATTTAGCAATTGGTAACAGCTTTCGGTTGATTGACAACGGCTTTTAGTTAGAAAATTGTCTGAATATGAACGTTGCCAAATTTACGATCAACAAGTGGTGTTTCAATAGAAATGGCAAAGACTATATGTATGTATGTATGTTATGTACTGGTTAAGAACGAAGAACAAAACTAGCTTTTAAATATTTTCAAGTTTTTAAGAATATGAGAAAGTTGAAATTTCAGTGAAAATGAAGCCAGTCAGAAAAATTACAGAAAATTTCCATTTCTTGACTGGAAAGAGTTGATAATAACTCCTTGAAACTGCTACACTCTACTAAGAACACTGTGCCAACTTCACAGCTATACGATTTGCCAGAAGTAAGAAATAAATTGAGCAAACTTTGAAAAAAAAAAATACTACCCTTACGATACTCCATGAACGATAATAATACACATAACTCATGCAATTAGATGCTCGTAAACCTACCCTCACCACCATTAAAACCAAGATGCGACATAAACAAACTACATAAATCAGTTTCAAACCAGTGTACACACTTATTTTACAGAGTAATATTACAATAAACGAGTGGGGTAGTTTTTTACCTTAAATTATGATGTACAGGCTTCCTATACAGTTCGAAAGCAGATCCGCGTTGCTCTCTTGATCCTTGTAAATCTACAATATTATTTCGTTCTGGTGGTCTTGCATCCATCAGCATGTCAGACCCTTCCATACCATATGGATTCTCGTGTTGGGCGATTGGTGTAATCTCACTTCTAGATGCATATGATATGCTCGGGTGTCTTCGGGATTCGTAAGGTGGAGCCATATCGTAAGGACCGTGCATTTCTGAGTTGTATCTCACAGCCGTTTCAGTGTGCCAACTGTTATTTTGTGGCATGTTGTAATAATAGTTCATATTCTGAGTTCTCTGGTCCTAAAAACGAAACACGTAATAACAATCTACTGGAATCAGCAGCTCTTACCACTGGATTACTGTGACTTTTTCCATGCTGGTAAGTTGGCATTGGAGGTTGCACCATTCCGTCGCCGTATCCTCCTTGTTGGCCTTTATACGGAGGTTTGTAATTTTTAGGTTTAGGCGGGGGAACAGGTTTGTACCCGTTACCATTCGGTGGACCCATGTGTCCAACAGGACCATTATCAAAACCGTTATGATGCATCGGTGGACTTTTCATTGGTGAATGATGATGCGCAGGCACCTGATGAACACTTAAATGGGACTGACTCAAGTCCTGATGAGACGTTCTAGCATAATCTTGAGCAGAACTGTTGTTTCTGCTGTATTTCCCATAGTCTGTTTTAGTTTCCACGTGACCTTTGGATTTTGCTGGGGATCTTGTATATCTGTAGATGTCGCGTTCAACGGATCCTCTGGGACTCACATTTTCCAGAGGTCTTGGTTCTTTGTCTAGTTCACGAGAATTCCTGGGACTGTTATCGTTGTGGTCTGTTTGTGGTAAACCGTACTTAAGGTCTAGCTTAGAATTGTGTCTGTGGGAATTCTGGTCCCACCTGGGTCCTGAACTGTACTTGGACGGACTGTTTTGAGCAGAACCTGGCTCGATTTTTGAAAGAGTTGTTTTAAGGTCGTCGTGAGCGTTTGGCCCGATTCTAGTGTTGGATTGTTTATTAAAAGAATCGTAACTCGAAAGAGAATCCTAAAAGAATTTTTTTAGTACCGGTGGAGCAAAAATTATCTTTAAATTACAGATTTAGAATTCTGACTCCTCTCCAAGGAACCCAGCTTATTGCTGAAATTATTATTATCGTTATTATTTTGTTCGACATTGTCTAAAGGTTGCCCAGGTTTAGTGCCAAAAAGTCTTTCATGTGCCGAACGCCTAAAAGCAAACGTCACTCAAACAATCTGCGAAAGTACCACTAAACTTACCCATTCGGGATTTTGTTGGGAGTGGTTATCAAACCAATGGGTTTAATTGCTCTATCTATTCGTGGTGGTAGATCCGGGACTTGTCCGTAAACCCCTTCTTTGGGACTTCTTCTAGGACTTTGTTCACTAATGCTATGCCCTTTTGGATGGTTGTAAGAACCGTGATGAACTGTACTTGCTTGTCTTTTATGCTGATTGTTAGTAAAATCGTTTCTGGTATCCATTTGCGTATTATATAATCCGCTTTTGCCATATTGATCTATGGCGCTGGGAATATCCTGATTCGACAAAGTGTAAGTAGGTTCTTTGGTTAAATTTAACTGACTGTCATTGGTCTGATTGTTAAACCCATATCGAGAATCGTAGGAAGGCTAGAACAACAGAAATAAATTTTCGTGAGTATTTTTTAATAATGTTTACCTGATATGGTGGCAGTACATCTGTAGTACTGCTGTCAGGCATTACAACGCTAGGATCAGAACTTGCTTTCGTTAGCCTACCAGCAGTCGGAGAATTTGATGAAACTGGGGGTCCAGGACTGTGTTCTAAATCACTCTCTGGACTACTTGCATACGAAAGTCGTAATGAAGACATTGGGAATAGGAAATCATCTGACAGTGATTCTTCAGGCTAAAATGATGATGAAGTAGATGACGAATGAACGACATAAAATGATCACACAAACATAAAGCTACGGTAATAGAGAATAAAAACTACGGTCTAACTACTTAGTAAAGCTCTACGAAGTGTTTACATGCTACAAAATTCCTCTACTAGTTAAAATATATCTTACAATGCGCAACCTAAAGAACGTATACAAACCGTGGTGGCACAGAGTCGACTCACCGAGACTGGAATTTTAAGAAGTCGCCACTGAGAAGGTATGTATGTGTTTTTTTGGTAACAGATGCAAATAAATCAAATTAGAAACGGTAGTATAGTGATAATATTTGTAACCCTTTGTGCGGGAAAATAAATTAACAATAGTGTTTGACTTGCAAAACATGTTTGAGATTCAATTTTTAAATGCGAAGTTTCACGACGATGTTAAAGGCCTGTTAAATTTAAAGTGGATTTAATATCGTTAACAAAGTACAAAGATCTTAAGTTTGATTAAGGAATTGTCTGTACTCGAGTTATTGGAAGTTAAAGACAAATCAGACACAATTTCAATTTGTCCCTGTTAACGACCATAAAAAATATAACTGTTACTGAGCGAAGTAAACTGAATAATAATACTTCAAACAACTAAGTTATTTAAAAATGCATAACCAAATTAGTTGGATATTTTTTGTTAATTTATATATTTTGAACTAATCACTTACGAGTGGTTCATCAGAAAATAAATTTACCCGTAATGTGAGTCACACGTAATATAAGAAGAGTCCGAACTTTATAGTTATTTCTTATCGCACTTTAGGTTGGACATTAAAATTATTATTAATAGTAAACATTGACATGCACACAAACTCGTTATTATTAGATTTCGCCGTACTCCTCCTCCTTAATCGGAAATGATCTTACATCAAAATTTCTGTTAGTAAAATGATCACAGTCGTAATACAAAGGTTCGTCAATGTTTTCGAAATTTTCGACATTCTCTGTTATTCCCAACCGGTTAGAAAGAAACCCATCCCGTGCTTTAGCATTACAGAAAGTAGCAGAAGCGTCAAAGTAAGGAATAGTACTTGCATATGGCAGGCCGATACTGGAACTGTATAAGCTATTCTGACTAGGAGAGAACTGGGAATGCACCAAAGGATAAATAAACTGAGGACGGCTGTACATAGAAAGCGGCGCCTTTCTAGTACGACTTCGTGGAGGTCTATACCTGTTAGGCAAGGAATTGGATCTATTAGGTCTACAGGTGATACAAGGGTAATAAATGTCGGAAAAAATGTCTGTCCCCAACTGAAAAAAAGTGAAAGAAAGAAGAAACCATCACCTTGAAAGCTGTTAAAGTACAAGCACAAACCTTGCTTTCGCTCATCCACAAAGCTCCACTTTGCTGCTTGTCAATGATATCTCTCACTTTGCGGTACCAAGTGTCTGTATTATCGTTCATCGTGATTGTAGCACTGAAAACGTGGTTCCAGACTTTATCAAGTTTTTGGCATTGTTCCAACAGCTTTTTGGAACTCTTGTGGGCAGACCTGTAATAACGTAATTAACACAAAAAGGTGACAAAATGGCGGGAAACTTACTTGGGTAAACCTTGTCGCAGCTGTTTGATCACAATTTTGCTTTCAGCTTTAAAGAACACCACGATTGGATACATTTGTGCGTAATTAAGCCTCTCGACTGCGTTTGGTGTTATATCCAACAAGGCGTGCTTCCCGGTAGCAATAACGTCACGAATTGCTGACAATCGTATAATATTGGAAGAAGTTTTTTGGGACTTGGCGTGTTCTTCTGCTGTCGTGTCTAATTCTGCAAATACAGAAGCGTCAATCGACTCTTACGCAAGTATTTAATGAACTTACGAGGCGATATAAACTTATCTGGAAAATCTTTCAAAAGTTTATCTCGTGCCACATCCGCAATAGGACCAAACAAGATCACAGGTCTTGTGAAACCAGGATGCTTCAGTAGAACTCTTTCGTAAGCAGGGAATTTCGATACTGTGTCTGAGAAAAGAATGTCATCCCAGTGTTCCTTCCCTAGGCTCTTCGATCGACGATTAGAACTTCTCCTGCGTCTAAAGAAGCTCCCTCTTGATTCATTCGCTGACATTTCTTTCTTGGTCGCATTAAATTGTGCCGTTGCTAATTCTTCAGCTCGGGACTTATTCGGAATTATTCCCTTTTGCACCTCTTGATTGTTGCGTCCAATCCTGAACACTTGCCACGAGCCTACTACACCATTATACAGAGTATCTATCACATGAAAAATATCACCCGACCGGAAGGACATTTCGCCTTTTGCTGGATTATCGTAATGAAAATGAGTTTTAATGTAGAAGCTATCGCCCTTCTGCGACGCAACTATATTATCGTATTCTTCTTTACAATATTGCACTATAAGTTCGATACGATCTTGAAGACTCAAAAGGAAAAGTACTGCTTCTTCTCTGGTCACACCCGTCATATCCATGTCATTCACTTTGAGAATTTTGTCACCTGGCTGCAGTCCTTGCAAGGATGCAGGACTACCAGGCTGGACGGCCGTGACGAAAATACCAACAAAATTACCACCTGTTAAACGGATACCAACTGAACCCTCTTTGTGGAATGTTACAAACCTCGCGTCGGGGCTACACAAATAAAAGTTCCTGAATTCGAGGAAAAGAAACAAATTACTACTTACATTGGTTGTTTCTTTTGGATGATGGGATCATCATCGTATATTTGTCTTCGAGAACTATAATAATCTGAAAATATGTTAGTTTCAGAAATATTTTCGTGGCCCAATGAAACATTTTAATAAAATTAGAATTAAGTTTGGTATGGTTTTTGAGGCGTAATTGGGAGAGATAGGATACACAGGATATATACAACGTCAAATATTTTATTTATAACATAAACCATTGCAACTGATTTGAAAAAAATAGCTTGGTGTATGGTCTGGAAGTAAAGTCGACATTCCACAAATTTCCGCATATACTTCTGTTTCTCAAGCGTCGGCAATTCGGAAACTTGTTATATAAAGTTTCAGTTGCTTGCATCATCCTGTAAAGTGACATTTTAACGGACTCAGTAAGAGTATCTTAGACACGCATTACTTGTGCAACTTTAGTTTCCAATAATTACTCCATTTCGTTGCAAAATCAAATAAAAACCACAATACATCACCATGAAAAACTAAGTAACAAAAATAACTGTTAAATTTGTGTTAATTTATCTTTCTTGCTATGTATATTTTTAAAGAAAAAGTGTAAAAAAAACATAGTTCTCCAAACATGTTTCCATGCGCTGTACGAACTACTGGCATATTTTGAAAGTATTAAGAACTTGTAAGTGTAAAAAATACTTGAAAACTAATAAAAACTTTCACAAAATTAAATGATTGTTATTTATATAAAGTTTATTTCAATTTATGATTCTGTCATTCTAAATGCATCGAAAAATTCTTACAAGTCATTCACTATTAATGACTTTCATGAATGAATGGAATGGGTTAACGTTTGAAAGCCACTATTAATATGAACTATCTACAACTGCATTGTTAAAAAAGTACTATCAAAGTTTAGCAACATTTTGTTATTTATTTGGCATTACACGTATCCGTTTTATATACAGTACAGATAATTCCGAGTTTTTCAAAGTTTTCGATTTTCACCTAAAATAATGAGGGGTATTGAAGGACATCAAGTGTGGTATTCGTTTTAACATACATTTCACAAGACACCACGCAAATGGTGAGGCCAAGGCATTACACTCTATCAATACTTCTCAAAAACTGTTTTCTTTTCTATGTTGTACAAACACTGCTTTCTTGGACAAGAAGGTCTTCCAGGTCAGGGTTTTGTGCCTTCTTAAAGATAACCAAAGAGATCTGATTCTATAAAGCGACACAAAAAAAAAATGTCGAAAACTTTGCAATTCACAGTACAATGTTCAAATTTCAGTTTCAGATTGCATAACAAATAATATAGCATTTTAATTCGTTCGAACCCTATTCAATGGTATGCTAATTTTATTTATTGTTATTAAGTGCTTTTAAAAGTTTCTTTCTCTATTGAACGTACTTGAACTAAATGAAAGTAGATAAATTGTGAATTATTTTTACATTTACATCTAATGACGAAGTTTCTATAGTGTTATTATTTTTAAGTATGGCAGTGGAACACACTTAACGTATCCCACTCATTTGAAATAAATAATGAAATTTATGTTTAGCTATTTGCATTGACTACAACTAACTCTGAAATCGCAGCATAAAATTTCATAGCTAACATATTATTAGCATCCTCGAGTGAAAATTTCACGCTCGTAGGTAGGTAATAATGCTTTTATCCTACTCGTAATGTAACGTAAATAACAATTAGGCATTATTTACTTCACTTACGATGTCACTTTTAATTATCATACGAACTTTGTTGATCCAGAGCCAACCTCGAAATCACACTAGTTTCTGCAACTGCAACTGTGACACTTTGTTTCTTGAAAATATAATAAACGCAATAATTTGTGATAAAACACTACAAACAAAGAACAGTAATGCCAACTATTTAATTAATGAAAATACATATTGTGTCGTGGTTACCATATTTTCCAACTTCCTCTATGTTTCACTTACAGTTCGAAAACAACAACTTTTTTAATATTTTTACAACCTGTGAAGCATCACTTTTGTGATTTATTTTTATATGGTCGTCCATAAAAGTAGCCTTTCGATCACGTTGTACACAATTAAGAATTCTGAATTATCGGAACACATTGAAAAGTGTATTTTCCAGTATTAAAAGTAGTATAAAAATTTTTTTACGTAACTCGAAAATGTTAGAAATTATCGAAATTATATATATGCATAAAATAGTGTTTATGCCCTTTTTATGTAACTGATCTATTTGCCTTATGCCGTTCTAGCGTTAAAAAAGTTACTCTTTTAAACGATTGTGTGTTAAGCACGATTTCCAACTCGTAACATTTGTACCACTATTTAATTTCGAAATCCCGCATCAATTTTTGTATATAATAATACTTAATAATAATTTTTATTAATTTTTTGGCTTCAGCAATGGTCACTCAAAAATAAAGCAAAATGTAAGTGGTAACGTTTTATTTTGCTTGTATGTTTGTTCTACTTCATCTTCAGACTCATCGAATTTTGATTTACAAAATAAACTAACATTTTTCGTTAAAAAATTACCATAAGGCGTAGATTTGCAATATTAAGGAAAACATTCACAACTGTTTCAGATTCCATTATTTCTTCCCTGTGTTCAAACACTTGGAAAAGAATACATCATCAAAATGGGGTGTTTTGGTAATAACATTATCGACTAGTCAAAATATTTATCTAAACTATAATATTACATTGCAATTTTTTTAAAGGTTTACAGATTTTCCTTGAACTTCCCTCACATCTGAAGTATCCAGCATTTTCGAAAAACTATAAAATTTGATGTTACGAATTTTATTTTTTATGAAAACCCCTATAAGTTGAAATAAACAGATATATGTAATGTATAGAAGCGTGCTACGCCTATGTTTCAAACGAGTTTTTCCTTTACAAAATTTTTTAATGACGTCATCAATTTTTGGGGGGAGTAAAAGATATATTTTGATTAACAATCTATTCCTGATTTATTCAAAAAAATAAATTGACACATACAATAATGTTTTTGAGTCATCCTGTATAAGACAATCTGAAAAATACTCTCTCTAGTTGGCAAGTAAGACATAAAAACCATTTTTCAATGGTGTTATTTATATACAATGTATTCGTTCCTGTCTGTCTTATCAGCTCAATAAGCTACTCCCACTAATACCTTCTTGGAACTTCAGTGTTAGAGTAGCAATCTTCTGAGAGTGGTTGAAATTGTATTTGTGGTTGCATAATTTCCTTTTTATAATTTATAATTTACACAAAAAATTGACGAATTGAACGAAAACCAAAAGAATAGCGGACTAGTCTATTGTCTATTCAATGGTTTTTTGAACTTTTAAAAACAGTCAACATTAATGATAATATTTGGGTAGGTATATCTGTTTGGTCAGGTGGATTGTAATAATAATAATACTAGTGTATTTCCAATGTTTTTTGGAAAATGGAGTGAGTCGTTCTTGATTTGATCAGTAAAATAAATTGCATAAATTCTATAGTATATGCACACTGTCATTGGATTCATAAATCACGCCTGTAGGGCTGTTATTTTATAAAATTTAAATAACATCTATTATGCACAATTATTAAACAACGTTTGGTTAGTGTTTTACCGTTTACATGTACATTATTTTTTCATACTTTAGGGGGTACAAAACGTCTAGAAAACATGAAAGTAGTTATTTCCTGGATAGAATCTATTACAACACTTCCTTAGCTTACTCTAGGAAAGTAAAAAACAATCATCCCACTTTTGACGGATTGAAGTACTGCTATGTTGTATGAAAAATTAATTACAGAAAGTACAAAACTGAAATAGAAGTGTATTCATAATATCTATAAATTATTAGGATATCAAGAGTGGCTCTGGAATGTCTTTTGCTAATTATTTTGCTGCCTACTTATGTGACCAATTATACAGTTAAATAATTGGGGTTGACTGACAAGTCGTTTACAGAAAGTTTCTATCATATTTGTAAAGAACGACACATTTGTTTGAAATTTCAAAGCTACCCTTGATACCAGAATCATTTATAGACACGTTGTAGTATATTATGGTTACGAAAAAAATATACTCTCAAATATAACATGATTCAAGTCGGGCGTGTAAAATTTGAAAAATTTTTTAAATTAAAAAAATCAAAGAGCTACTCAGAATTCCAAATCGATTTTTTTTACACACTTCGTGTTGTGAAATTTTATATGTATGTTATCAATATCGTGTAGATGGTAACGCTAACCAAAATTTGTCTAATAATCCCCATCAATAATGTGATTACATCACCTCAAAATTGTATATAGTAAATACATATATTTTATTTAAATTTTACAAAATAACATACTCCTACAAGTTCATGAATCCGTATTGAATATTGATGGCAAAATTATATAAAAAAACCGAATCCTCTGACATTTAAAATGTGCAAAATCTTATGGATCTATAGTATAGAATTGCTTATACAGTTTGACTCAAATGTTAATGAATGAAGCAATTTTTTGTATTGATTAAATCAAGAATGGAATTAATACACGTATCCTTGTTAAAATGTTGATGACGTGTCACAGGAGTTGTGCAATGAAAAACTCCCTTGAAACATACACACAGCACGCTTCTTTCCTTTTACTTTAATACTACACACAAGCACCTCTATTTTAACTTACAGAGATTATCATAAACAAAATAAAATTAGCAGAATCAAATGACGAGGGAAGTTCTGTCTAAATATCCTTTGACTATTCCTTTTTAAATGTGATTTGGACAAATATCCTGTGTCCCTATCTTCACAAATGATACATAGGTACATCGAAACACTGCCTCAAAAAACTTACCACTTTTATTTAGTTCCGTTGCTTCTTTCCATGCATTACCTTCAGCTCTAGGAGGGGGTGGTCGCGGTGGTTCATCTCTGCCTTTAGACCTCCCGTAACCCCCTAAACTATTCCTATTTTCCAGTTGGTTCAAATTAGCCTCTGATAAAGGTCCTCTTGATCTTCCCCTAGGTGCTAAATTACTCTTATCATCTACCAATGAATTTGGACCGCTACTAGGATCAAGTTTGTCTTCGAAACCACCGCTCGTGTTAAGATTTGGATTTCTGGTCGGCGGTTGGACGTATAAATTTTGATTTGAATAACTTTGCGATGTCAAAAAATCATCGCCTTTGTAAAAATTATTAACAGCACCGGTAGTACTAATAGAACTTTGCGTTTGATGAGAAATATTCGAAGATAAGTCGCGCGCAATCGTAAGTTGCAGTTTATCTTTTGTACTATCAATTATTTTTTTAGCCTCTTTCAATGACATTAAATCATTACAATTGGTATTGTTAATTTTTGTAATAAAATCACCCTCAACCAATACCTGGTTGGTGTTAAGTAGTTGATCTCTTGCCTTAGACGAGATCTCTTTGACGAAGAGTTTACACCCCAAAACTATACCAAAATCTGCAATCAAACAAAATTACATAACCTTGTAATTCAAAGTACTTCTTAGTCACCTTCTTTCTTTGAGTTTTTGGTTAAAGTCACTTTAGCAGGCAAGGGATTAATCCCCAAAGCTGCTAACGGCGTTCCCGTATATGAAGCACTTAAACTATGGCTATGCTGATGCTGAACCGTCCTTCTCTTAATCACTAAAGTCACTGTATCTCCCGAATCCCGCAGCACTTGAACAGCTGTAGCATAATCAACATTCTGGAGAGATATTCCATTGACTGAAATAATCCTGTCGTTGACCCTGAAGTGACAATACAATTTTAAAACCGCAACTCAAACCACAAATCATCACTTACTGTAGAATTCTTTCGGCAGGACCCGACGCTAGGACATCGCTGACGGCAATACTGGGGTCACCTGAAGCAAAGTGTGGATTGTCTCTTCCTCCGGAAACTGCAATTCCAAAGCCATAGCCCGGAACACGAGTTACGCATATTTGTTTGTACTCCCAGCCGCGTTCCTGCAAGAAATTTTCCCGGTGAAGATAGAGGTATGCAGAAAGAATTTCTATGCTTGAATTAACGCGCAAGTTTCAACATAGGTCTCACCATTTTTTTTAATGTGCGCAATAATTCATATTAAATTTAAAATTACTAATAAATGAGGAACATATGTGGAAAATATTTTAGAAAGTTCAAAGTAAACACTTGAAGGTGAATAATTACATTATTTAAATGAATGTTTAACTTTCTAGAAAATGTTCACGAGTTTTTTTGTCTATATAGGTAAGTGTCACAAGCACTGTTTGATCTTATCTGGATGCATGACGAAAAATTATTTTCCACCACAAAATATAATGTTTTCGTAAGGTACGGAACTATGATTGCAATCTTTTAAATACAACGTTTCACATAGTGTAAATGTTCTATGGCAAGTAAAATAATATTAGATCATCACATTAACAAGACTTAAGGCGACTTTATGGTTAAATCTTTAATGAAATATTTCTCAGAAAAATCTTGAAACCTTCAAAAGTTATAAGACTTGATGCAGAGGAAAACGATGAACTTTTGGACAGAAGAGTTTACGGGTCGGGTTTACAGTCAAAATTGTCCTTTACATTGTATCCGTCATTAATATATAAAAGTATAGCGTGATCAACAAATACTGTTTGAGTTGGCAATAGAATTAACCAATTCTGAAAAATTTTTCTTCTATTACTGAACGGCCGAACCTGATTTAAACGTTTGGCGCTCTGTCACTTTTGAACGTTCGAGAAAGTTAGAATATGACATTTTATTAACCATAGAATTAGAGGGAGTAAAATGATCGCAAATATTACTTGACTCCAAAGAAATCTATATCTACTGTCCTTCTAAGATTTTTGGTGCTAAAGCAAAGAATAGAATATTTAAGTTTTCCTTGGGGTCAAATCCTCTTACTGTGTCTTGTAATCACAAATTTTGCTTTAAATTATACGTCCCTGTCTACATGTTAGTTGTGACAACTGTAAAAAGATGAAGTCAATAATTTCGAAATTTTGCGACTCTGTACAAAAATATAAAAATACAAACACATTCTGTTGTACTTGTAAATAGTCATTTTTCATTATCTAATTTTCTGTATTCTAACAAGAAAAGATGTATTTTAGGAATCATTTTTCAACATCTAATTTTCTTTATGCTAAACAAGAAAAGATCGATTTTAGGTATATACGTGTAAGAAAAAAATATTCAAGAACTTATTTAACTGTAAAATAAGTAATTATTTCTACCTTACAAAAATTAGAAAGCATTAGATCTAGAGTCTGTAAAATGCTGCCAATCACAAATAATGAGGATGTCACCGAAAATCTTTTGAATTAATTCTACAAATTAGTTTAAATCTTTTCTTATTTAAGTAACCCAAAGGAACGTTTCGTAGTGAAACTGTCCGCAAATCCTAATCAATACATACAAACAGACAAGTTCTGACTCATTCAGTGACTGATTCATCAACGCCCAGCCCAAACCCTTGGACCTAGGAAGTTGAAATTTAGCATAGAGGTTCCCCTTATGATGTAGACGAGGAGCAAGGCTGGATTTTTCCAAATTTCCACGGGATAGGGAGTAATCTTAATATAAAAAAGTGTTTTATCTGACTGACTGATTCATCAACACATAGTCTAAACTACCTACTGGAGCTAGAAACATGAAATTTGGACAGTGGGTTACTTTTGCAATGTAAGCACCCACAAAGAAAGAATGTTTCGAAATTCCGCCCCTACGAGGTAAAATAGGCGATGAAAATTTGTGTGGGAGGTTTAGGCTTTAGAACCACATTTTATTTTTGAAATTACGATACGACATTGAAGGATTCACAAAGAATCACAGTAGGGTTATGTTTAAAATCTATGTTTCAAGATTTTGTAAAGAGAAAAAGAAAGGTATGCGCTTTATAGTGCTATAAATGAGATTAAATATTCATGTAGAGAGTGTTTATAAAAATGTTTTAATTATTACAATTTTCAAATATCCAATTTCAACTTATTCTAATAAAACACCCTGTATTTTATCACTGCATCTTACTATATTTTTGTTCTCTTCCTTTTTTCCTGGGTATTTTCTATTAAGGTTGATAGCCAATGCGATTTTTTACTTTTTTAAGAGACACATCAACATATAAGAATGAGGGCAAAAAATAAGGTGTTCCAAGAAACACCTGAAATATCAATATCTGAAAATTGTAAAGTTTTAATTTTTTTATAAACACTCTGTATATTAAAGTTCGAATTAGATCATACCACAACAAAGCGCGTACCTTTCTTTATCCATCCACGAGAAACTTTAAAAATAACACCATTGCGATTTTCTTAACACTTCCATTGCCAAAAAATTTCAAGGCGTCGCATCGGAATTATAAAAGTAAACTATGGTTGCAAAGCCTAAAATTTAAAATACGTAAAGTTCTATAAGGTGCTTCATTAAAAAAAACATTGTGTGTTACGCCTTAAAAACGGAACACTCCGCACAATTAAAATAGTATATTATTAACTAAGGTTGTGAAGACAGACATTCTAGACCGAGCGCAAATTAGAACCTGAGACGCGCAGCGTCGAGGGCTCTAAAACGCGAGGTATAGAATTGGCTTCACAAACGTGGTTAATATACTATTTTTTCCACTAGTAGCCCATTTGAGGTTTGCGAATTTTCAAAATGTTTTTTTCTGAAGTGCATCAATAAAAATGTGTACTCACGTCATTTTAGTACGCTTTGGAATTTTATTATTTTTTGACAATCCAGAAATGGTCCAGAACTTTTGTTTTAATTTCCTCCATATTTCCCGTTTTTAATAAATTTTTGTGTGAAAAATGTTGTAAAGTGAACCATCATGTACCCCTCCTCATTCCGTCGTACTTACGCGACCGCGACAAATTTGGCTGAAAAAGGTATGGACCTTTTATCGTTAAAGCGACACGGGGAATGGAAATCCTCCAGCATAGCAGAAGGATACAACGACGGGTCGATCTTCAATAAAAAAAAAATCCCCGAAATCGTCCAAAGCTCATCTACGGCAAATCAAGTCAAACCAAATCGGAACCATAATTCAGTTTCAGTCCCGTAAACTTCATTTTCACTCCCATCAACTTCATCAACTTTGTTTCACCAATTTATCCTCAATTTATAATCAATTCAGGGTTTGGAAATCATTCCAGGGCATAATTTAAAAGCAAATTTTCCAAAATGATCGTTTTCAGGTTATGTCTCAGTTTTTCTGACAGTTGTGGACAGTTGTCACATTAGGTGGCCAACTTCACGTTTACATTATTGACCAAGGTTCACAATTTTCCAAATTACAGACCTCTAGACAAGTCGACAATTAGCCATTGTAATGCTACTAGTGGAAAAATAATTTTAGAGTGTAGGGCTCAAAGAACCGTACAACTTTGGTCTTTGACTTTTTTTTAGTGACTCACCCTGTATATACAGACATCTTTAGCGACATCAAATTTCATAAGGCAAACCTAACTTTTAAAGTCGCCGAAGCATTGCCATAAAAGTGTGAACTTCTGTCACTCTTTCATTTATGAAGAAACACCTGCACAGGCGTGAGATAAGAATGAGTCAAGCCAAACACAGTATCGAAATTAGGGCCAACAGGCTAGGTAGAAGAGGCCCAAGTACCATTGTAATATCATTTAGCTAGGTACATATAACAGTCCGATTTTAAGTACCGTTTCGGTTGACTAATCTTCAGTATGTTCCTGTGCAGGGGTTTACTAACAAATAGGAGGGTAATAAACATTACTTGACAGAAATTTATACTTTTATGGTAATTCTATGGCGGACTTTAGAAGTTAGATCAACCACTTGTATTTTCCACTACTACTCGTATAAACTAATGCTCCCGTATGTAGTGCTTATAGATTTACCATCACACCAGTTTCCCTACGGTGTAGGCCGTGACGACAGAGTACCTTTGACCCCCAGCCTTGCGTACCTTTTTCTTTTCCTCAACTGTAATAGTCCTATTTAGTCCTGTTCTTTGCATTACATGGTTTTTAAGATATTGTCTATTTCCGTTTTAAAAATCAGAAGTAGGTATAGTGAACCAAGAGCTATAAGGTTATATGGCCATCATAAAAGTAGTTGACCGCAAATAAATACCCCCTTTGTGTGGTTCGCACTAAGCTTACCGGTTGGCAATAAATCATCTTCTAAACATTTCTTGCTCATATTTAACAGGCTCGGCTTTCAAAGCGAGTGGTTATTTCGGAACCCTCAGCGGCTGCAGGTAGTAAAGAAATAGTGGAGTGGTGGATTTTCATGTTTAGTGAAAGCCGCCCCTGAACGAAACCACAAGAGCCGGTCGAGCTGCAGTGGACACGTTATTTACGACCCTAAAACCTTTTCTTTTGTAAACAACTTAACTTCGACACAATGTGATGATTTTATGATGGCCATATAACCTTATAGCTCTTGGTTCACTATACTTCCAGAGATACAACAATCAAGTTTAAGAGAAGTAGGCTTTAATTGCTACAATTATGAGAAAACAACTAGAACAAAAACCTTAATTTTCATTAGCGAAGCCGCGAGCAGAAGCTAGCAGCAACGACGAACTCTGTATTAAACATGCAAATGTTTTAAAAACAATCTACACAATTTACTGCACATCAGTACACAGCGGTCTAACGAAACTGTTCATAACAGGGCTTGCCCTCTGCCCTTTATCTTTTATTAATAATAATAATAATAATAATAATAATAATGTGATTCCGGGATTTCGCGTTTGTAATTTTTGAATTTTAAAAGCAAATCTGGTTGTAATTTTCTACTTATTTTTTCGTACGTGATTTAACTAAAAATAAGACTATTAAATATTTGTAACGTATGCCATCTGTACCAACGTTGGAGGAGAAACAACATACATATCTAAGAAACACTTAACTGCAGCTTACACGAAATTTTACGAACAGAGAACTTTTTATAACTGGTGTAACGTTGTAAATGTAAAATTAATGTTCATATCCCCTTAAAA